AGGAAAATTTTGTTTTGTTTTGTATGCTATATGGTAATTTATGGACCTAATAGGTATGTCAAGCCATTTGCACATGTTGCCGTGCAACCAGTCCATGCAGAATGTAGGAACCCTATATATAGAAAGGAGCAAACCAGTGATCTTTCTACGCCTTCCATGGCTACCTCTTGGAAATCCTGTTCACGGCCGTCATCTCGGCGAGGACTGGGCCTTCTCCGGGGCCACCACCTTGCTGTCTTTCTTCGCCTACGGGACCTGCGGCCTGGCCTTGGAGCGCATCTACCTCTGGCTGCGCAACGACTGCTGCCTCCTGACTCGCTGCCTCCTCTACAGCCTCTGCATCTATCTGTGGCAGTTCTCGACGGGCTATGCCCTCCGCTGTTTCGGCACCTGCCCCTGGGACTTCAGCGAGTTCCGCTACAGCTTCCTGGGGATCGTGGCCCTAGAGCACAGCCTCATCTGGTTTGTGGGGTCCCTCCTGCTGGAGAAGTGGGTCCTCGCCAACGTCCTGAGGCTCCGGCTGGACGAACCCTGGAAAGCCAAACCTCGTCCCATGCCCAAATTTGTGCTGAAGGACGACTGACCGCCGGCTGGTTTTAAGGAGGAGGAGAAAAGAGCGAGGGTCTGGGTGGTGGGACTCCATCCTCCTCCTCCTCTTCCACTTGGACCTATAATCCTCTTTTAAAGCCAGCTAACAGACTGAGGTTGAATCCTGACAAGGCAGAAGTACTGTTCTTGGGGACAGGGGTGGGTGGTGGGAGGACTCCCTGGTGCTGAATGGGGTAACTGTGCCCTCTGAAGGACCAGGTGCGCAGCCTGGGAGTCATTTTGGACTCACAGCTGTCCATGGAGGCGCGGTCAACTCTGTGTCCAGGGCAGCTGTTTATCAGCTCCATCTGGCACGCAGGATGAGACCCTCCCTGCCCGCAGACTGGTGCATGCTCTGCTTATCTCCCACTTGGACTACTGCCATGCGCTCTATGGTGGAGCTACCTTTGAAGGTGACCCGGGAAAATACAATAATCAAGAATGCGGCAAGCCGAGACCACATAACATCGGTCTTGAAAGACCTACATTGGCTCCCAGTACATTTCTGGCACAATCAAAGTGTTGCTGCTGACCTTCTAAAGCCCTAAATGGTCTCAGGTCCAGTAATACCTGAAGGACGGGCTCCACCCCCCATCGTTCTGCCTGGACACTGAGGTCCAGCTCCAAGGCCTTCTGGCGGTTTCCCTCGCTGCGATAAGCCAAGTTACAGGGAACAGGCAGAGGGCCTTCTCGGTGGTGGCACCCGCCCTGTGAACGCCTCCCACCAGATGTCAAAGAGAAAAAACAACTACCAGACTTTTAGAAGGAAATTGAAGGCCGCCTTGTTTAGGGAAGCTTTTAATGTTTGATGCATTACGGTATTTTAATATTTTGTTGGAAGCCGTCCAGAGTGGCTGGGGAAGCCAGCCAGATGGGCGGGGTATAAATAATAAATTATTATTATTATTATTATTATTATATTATTATTATTATTATTAAGCTTCTTTTTCATCTCTGGGATAGCAGTGAGCCCGGGCAATTCTGCCCTGCTTACGGGGATCAGTAGTCTAGGGTGAGGGTGTTTTAGGGTGGGTCGATCTGTTGAACCCCTCCTCTCCCAGGCTGCCTGTGGGGCTTTTGTGATCTGGGGCCATTCCCCGTAAGGCTGTGCACTTTTGTGGGGCAGAAAGGCGAGCCGGGGGGGGGTTGAGAATCTCTGGGCATCCCGACATCACAGGGGACGGCGATTCTTTCCTTTAAAAATAAAAAGAAGCACGCCTTTTGTTCCCTGCAAAAAAGGGGGAGGCAGGGCAGGAAGATGGGATCGCTGGGAAAACTCGCTGCAAAGCCCCGAACATCTGTTATGGATTGAAAGAAGCAGCCGGCCAGCCCTGGAGAAAATGCAGAAAAAGATTTTACAGTGTGGCTGGAGGCGGAAAAAAGAGGGTTATTTTCTGGGAGGTTTGCACAAATTCAACGCAGGTGAGATCCTTGCCTTGCACGAGACCCGACCCTCCCAGGCTTGGATTTGATCGAAGAATGTTTGATGGCTTCTTAATTCATTATCATTTACATTTCTATCCTGCCTTTAAGCTTAGCCCAGACTCAAGGCGGCTTTGCAAATGAAGACCCTAAGATGCAGCTAAAAAAGAAGAAAAGCTAAAAAGAAAAGAAAATATTTTATCCATGGTACGTGGAGCTCAAAGTTCACCCACATTTACCTTCAAGTCTGCCAGAGCACCCTGGTAGGTTCTAGCAGGTTCAGAGTGAGGTTTTTATATTTTTTTAAAAAAAATCAAGACGAGAGAGTTTAAAATAAGACAGACTTTATTACGACAGGATCAAACCGGAAATGCAGACGCATCCATTTTAAAAGTCGTTCTGATTAACACAGAAACCCGTTAACGAAAGGGAGGCAACTCTATAAATAAAAAGACACAAACAAGTAATAAGTTAATACTGAATATTCCCCCGACACACACCAAATTAAGGCAGACGTTGGCTTTTTCAATTTTTAAAGTTAGCAGATAAACTAAGAACCTTTTATGCACTTCTATAAAAAGGAGAAAAAAATAATATTTGGTTCCAAATATCAGAAATAACGTTCATATATTTTTTTAAAAAAGGATGCAATAAATAGCTTACAATATATTAAGGATTCATGGTGGAGTTTTGCCAATTCAGAGGTTCTCTATCCTGGATTTCCCCTCCCTGGAGACAGTTTATCTCCTGATATGCTTTCTCCATACACAGAACTTGTGTAGGTAGGAATCGCCTGAAATCTCAGGCGACACAATGTGTTCCTGTGCTCCAGACATCAAACATTCCTTGGAAGAATGAGCTGCAAAACCAGCACGAGATTAAGGATTGTTTTCCAATGCACAAAGATATTAGCTCGGTTAGGAGAGGTGCAATTCGCCCACCAATCTCCTGAAAAAATAATGAGAACCCTCATTCGTGCACAAATAGAGATTGAAAGGGAATTCGAGAACGGAAACCCTTCCTTTCCTCTTGTTCCATGCAACGTAATCCGAACCTGCAAAATTCCCCCTTATATTTTAAAGGGGAAAAAGAAGTCGTCGTCGTCGTCCCTGTGGGGGAAATACCACACTTTCTTCAAAACAACTGAAGAGAATATCTTTTTTTAAAACACACACACAAACTTGGGGGCTAATCCTGTCCCCACTACAAAAGCATTATTGTGAAGGGCACAGGTGGCCTGACTCTTTAAGAAGACCGGCTGTGCAATAAGGGGATGAGCGAATTAATGCAGGAGACAGACAACGCCCCCCGCCCCGTCTCCCCCCTCAATCTTGGAGACTTGAAGGCAGTTTCAAAAGACAGATCTCAACCCACTTTCTGAGGGAAAACGAGGTTTTAGCAGGGCTCTGTCGTTTGCATCGGGGCAGAGGCGTAAAGGGGAACCCCTCTCAACCCATTTTTTAGTCTGCAGACACTGTTTTCTAGATCTTTTTTATCAGGTAACACTCGAGAGACCCAGGCATGAGCCCAAAAAACCAGTGTTGTGTTGACATACTTGTGCGACCGAGAGTTTCCAAGCAAGCCACACGCTTGCCATGGAAAGAAGAATGCCAAGGGCTGCTGTTTCCATTGCAAAAACCGGAGGGCCAGCCCAAGACGCAATCTGGGGTCCCTCTAGATGTTTAGGACAGCATCTCCCATCAGACCCCGCAAGGGCTGATGGGAAAATCCCAGTTGGCACTGCCCAGCGGCCTCCGTCCTTGGACCCAACTCATCTTCTTCCCAACCTGCTCTGCAAAAATGAATAAATTAAGAAGCACTTGGGTGTTTGGCCTGAGAAAATGCGAAACCCGCCGTTAATACAATCTCTTCTCCCCACCCCCCAGCCATTCAGAAACATCCAACATTCTTTCCTCTAAGGGCTCAAATTTGTGGGAAGAGTTCCGATTCCAATGCGTCGCCGCTCCCTTAAAAATTAAAAAATGCTTTCGGCGTCTGGTCAGTTTTTGAGGTCTTCTCTCCCATTTCTCCCACCCCCTCAGTAAAGACAGAAAGAGAGAATGAGAGAGAGAGAGAGAGATCTTGATCTTGGCAGGCGAGTATTTGTCAGTTTAAGTTTTTCATTCTGTCAGTTTCACCCTCCAGCTTTCCTGCCCGTAGTCAGAAAGTTCTTGGCTTTCCCTTTTTCCATGCCGCCAGATCCTCAGCTGAAACAACACAAAGGAAAGCCCTTGCTTAAGGCTTTTTTTTGGGGGGTGGGGAAGGCAACCACCAAAATTAAGTTTTTCCATATTGCAGCTTCAAAAAGACAAAAAAGCACAAGTAGCTGCAGATTTGTCGGCTCCTTCTCGCATGGAGACAGGAGCCAACATTCAGGGTCGGATCCAATGCTAGCGCTGCACAGAGGAGACCAACTGGAGATAAGGAACACGGCCGACTTAGGTCCCTGAATGCTAGTGGGTCTACTCTGTGTAGGATTTGGTTGAATACATCACAATGGTATCGAAATAAAGTTCTGCAAATCTTTTGGAGTCAGAGACAGAACCCCATAATTCACGGGTCACAATATATTTTTTTTGCCAAGGCCCTAAGCCAGATTTCCCCAACTTGGTGCCCATGCCAGAGGTTTTGGACTACAATTCCCAGCCATGTGCAGTGATGACTACGGATAATGGGAGTCGTAGTCCAACATATGAGCACCAAGTTGGGGGAGGAGACCCTGAGAAAATGTGAGTAGCCTGGCAGAAAACAACACCCTTCTGGATGCCACAAAAAATCTCGCCACGTTCCATGGAGTCGGCTTTGCTCCAGACTTCCCACATGTCCCTGGCCACTCTCTGTAAAACTATCGCAGCAAGCAGGACGTTGCCTGTTCTCGTGGTTCCACATCCTTCTCACTCTGCATATAATTTCCTCGATCCCTCCCTCAAGCAGAGAAAACCAGCAGTAGTTGTTCATCTCAGTCCATTGCTTGAGAAACGTCAGTTTTTTTATCAAACAATAAAATAAAATAAAATCATTGACAGGATAAAAAAAAGAGCCTTCCCAAACAACTCAGGATATCAAGAGAAACCAGACCATTTTTAAGAGCGCTGGAAGTGGTCTGAGAAGGACACACCTCTCGCCCCCCAACGGCGTACAAAAACACACACGGTTGCCTCTGGATAAACAGGTCAATGAGGTTTTTGAATTGATGCGGAAACCTAGCGAACCTATTTAAGCAGAGGCAGAAAGTCAGGTGGGCATCCACACACAAAGAGCAGAGGTTCCTAGCTGCCTCCAGCTCTCTCTGGGAGCGGACAAGGGAAATCTCGCCTCTTTCTCTCCATGCCTCAGTTTCTCCTCCCAACCTCGAAACGCCCCTTCAGTCATCGGAGATGGAGATCTGGCTGAAAATGGGCAGCCGCCGGCCCAGCGGGCCCAGCCCCGGGGATTCTGATCCACTGCTGCCCCCCGAACTCCCGGAGTCTTCCTGGTCGGAGAGGGAGTCGGCGGAAAGGCTCTTCTGCAGCGTCAGTAGGGCTGGGAAGGCGAAGGGGCAGGACAGGGAACCCCGAGTGGCTCCGGCGGCACGGAGGGGGCAGGCGAGAGTCGGCTGGCTCAGGGCGTCGCGAGGGAAGGAGGTCTCCGGAAGGCGGGGGCCCACAGGCAGGGGGTCAGCGGCGGGGCAGTGGCGAGTTGGCAAGGGTGCCCGCGGGGGCGGCACGCGGCGCTCCTCTGCGTTGTGGATGAAGTGGCAGCGTGCGCCGTAGGGGCAGATGCCCGAGGTGTGGAAGGTGCGGCAAGGCTCCGTCTTGTACTTGGGGTGGCGGCTGAGGCCCCGCAGCTCAGCCACGCCGTGGGCAAACTGGCACTTGGCCCCGTACTTGCAGACGCCACTCTCCTCAAAGGTGCGGCACAGCTCCGTCTTGTAGCGGGACGAGGGCGGCTTGGTGTCGCCGCGGCAGCAGCCCTCGATCAGGCTGGTTGAGCGGTCCGCCCGGAAGGGGATGCGCTGGAGGGACGTGGGCGGCAGCTCAGAGTCCCGGCCCCACGGCTGCTGGAGGGGCCACGCTGGGTCGCTCGGACCGGCCGCGGTGGCATGGGGAGTGACGGTGTCGGCCGGGTGCACTGCACAGCCGGTTCCTTCGAAGCCGGAAGCCGAGAGGGCGACAGGGCAGGCTGAGAAGGTGCGCTGGAAGCGGAGGAAACGCCTGGCATCCGGGCTGTTGTCGTCCTCGTTCAGGTTCAGGCTCAGGAACGTCTACGAAAGAGGGAATTGGGAGAATATTATGAGAACTGAATTTATCAGTCGCTGGCTTGTTTGTTTTTCCAAATAATATTTATTATTTTCAGTAGATAAACATAGTAAAAAAAAAGATTAACAATAATAAAAACAAAGAATAAAAGAGAAAAGAGAAAAAAGATACATACAGCATATTACCACTTAATTAATTAAAATTAAGTACCATTCATCTTCTTAAACATAGTATTTGACTTCCTTCAATCTCTTCCATCCAAAATTCTTAGTAATTATATGTAGCAGTTTCCAATATCAGTGTTTCAAAAGACCATATCACAGTCCTATTCATATTACATAATCTTCCTTATCGTACATTTTCTTATTTATAAATTTAATTCCAGTTTAATCCTAGGCCTAATTGTTTCTTTCAAGTGGTTACATATCTTTAATATTACAATATTTATTCAAATAGTCTTTAAATTTCTTCCAGTCTTCTTGATGTTCCTCTTCTTTCTGGTCGCGAATTCTCCCGGTGAGATCAGCCAGCTCCATAAACTCCATCATCTTCATCTGCCAGTCGCTGGTTTTTTTGGTCACAGGCAACTCAAAGCGATATACAGAAAATGGAAAACCCAAACATAACTTACCGTATTTTTCACTCCATGTGACACACTTTTTTCTTCCTAACAAGGGGAAATGTCTGTGCATCTTATGGAGCGAATGCGTGGTCGCTGGAGCCGAATTGCCCAGGGGCAAAAAGCAGATCATGGTTTTGTTTTGTTTTTTGAAAGAGGGAAGGGGGTGTTGAAACGAAGCCGCTGATCGGCAAGCGATTGGGAGGGAGATAAGGGATGCTAGAGATAAAGGAGGCTGCCTGGGATGGGTGGGGGAGGTAAAGACAGCAAACTTGCAAAGGGGGGAAAGAGGAAGACTAAAGCAATGAGGAGAGAAATTAGAAGAAAAGGAGGAGCAAAAAACTGCCCCAGCTAAGGAAAAGACACTAAGGCAAACAAGAGGGATGGGAGTGTTGAAAGGAAGCAGCTGATCGGTGGGATTGGAAGAGAGATAAGGGATGCTACGATAAAGGAGGCTGCCTGGGAGAGGGAGGTAAAAGCCCATGGATCCTCAGGATTTTTGCATTGGGTCACCCCAAATTCACCATCAGATCACATAGCATGTCCATGGCTACAGCCTGCACCCAAAAAATCACGCACCCACTGTTGCGTGTGGCCGCAATGGCGCAAAAACGTGGTTGCAAAGCACGGGTCCACATGGATCCTCAGGATTTTTGCATTGGGTCACCCCAAATTCACCATCAGATCGCATGTCTGTGGCCACAGCATGAACCACAAAAATCATACACCCACTGTTTCATTCAGAATACTTTTTTCCTTGTTTTCCTCCTCTAAAAACTAGGTGCGTCTTATGGAGCGAAAAATACAGTACATTAAAGCCAGGGGAGAGAGAATAATAGAATTGTAGAGTTGGAAGGGACCTCAAGGGTCATCTAGTCCAACCCCCTGCAATGCAGGAATCAAGACATCCCACTCACTCTAAAAGGCCATAGATGGGAAAAGCCACAGGCCTGGTTAAGAAGGAAGGTTTTCACCTGGCAGCTGAAGATAAGTAATGAAGGCACCAGGCGAGCCTGGGCAGCTCCCAACTGAATGTTAAAAACACAATACAGCATTAAACATTAAAAACGTCCCTGTATCTTCTAAAAGTCAGTTGTTTATTTCCTTTGCATCTGATGGGAGGGCGCCACCACCGAGAAGGCCCTATGCCTGGTTCCCTGTAACCTCACTTTTCGCAATGAGGGAACCGCCAGAAGGCCCTCGGATCTAGACCTCAGTATCCAGGCTGAATGATGGGGGTAGAGACGCTCCTTCAGGTATTCTGGGCCAAGGCCGTTTAGGGCTTTAAAGGTCAGCACCAACACTTTGACTTGTGTTCAGAATCGTACTGATTAGCCTGGAAAAGAGGAGACTGAGAGGAGATATAATGGCCATCTTCAAATATCTCAATGGCCATCACATGAGGGAGCAAGCTTGTTTTCTCCTGCTCTGGAGGGTAGGACTCGAACCCATGGCTTCAAGTTACAAGAAAGGAGAATCCGACTAAACACTCGGAAAAACTTTCTGACAGTAAGAGCTGTGGAACAGTCTCCCTCGTGAGGTTGTGGACTCTCCTCCCATGGAGGTTTCTAAGCAGAGGTTGGGTAGCCATCTGTCATGGATGCTTGAGCTGAGATTCCTGCATTGCAGCGGGTTGGACTAGATGTCCCTTGGGGTCCCTTCCAACCCCACATTTCTACGATTCTATAATTCTATGCAAGTCCCTGATGCAACTACGACTTCCACACTTCTCTGCAGGCAAAGAGTTCTCTCGTTTTCAATGCTTGACCTCCAGGGACCAGGGCTGCTCTCTCGCGCCAAGTGACGCAGAGGAGGAAGCGATTTGCCTGCCGGCCTGTCCTCCCCATGGGCTAACTGTTTTGAGCTGCACAATCCGCAACGTCTAAGCCCAGGCCAGCCGCTCTGAGCCCTCCCTGGGTTTCCCCCACGAGGGACAAGCTTGTGGCCGCACTCTCCCTCTGCAAATCCCTCGGACGGAGGCAGCTCGCCCCAGAGGATGCTATTAACTAAATGGATCTCCATCTGGCCGCTGGGCAGATGACACCTGCCTGGCCCAGCGCCTGAGGAGGGCACCCAGTGAAGGAGCCTTGAAATCAAGGGGGAGGAATGCGAGACCCTCCAAATATTGATGGACTTCAGCTCCCATCGTTCACAGCAACCAGTGTGGCCAAGGGGCAGCAGAGGCATTTTAATGTTTCGCTCCCTGGCAGTGTTCGAAATACCCCAGGTACAGGTCTAATAAAATAATAATAATAATAATAATAATAATAATAATAATAATAATAATAATAATAATAATTTATTTATTTATACTCCGCCCATCTGGCTGGGTTTTCACAGCCTCTCTGGGCGCCCTCCAACCGAATATTAAAAACAATACAGTGTCAGACATTAACAACTTCCCTAAACAGGGCTGCCTTCAGTTGTCTTTTAAAAGTAAAATAGTTGTTTATTTCCTTGACATCTGATGGGAGGGTGTTCCACAGGGGGGGGGGCGCCACCACCGAGAAGGCCCTCTGCAACTTCTGGTCTTCTGGCAGTTCCCTCACTGCGAGAAGCGAAGTTACAGGGAGCCAGGCAGAAGGCCTTCTCGGTAGTGGCACCCTCGCTTCAGAAGTCAAGGAGATAAAGAACTACACAACTTTTAGAAGGCGTCTGAAAGCAGTCCTGTATCGGGAGGTTTTTAACGCTTGATTTTTCTAATGTTTTTAGAAATGCTGTAAGCCGCCCAGAGTGACTGGGTTAACCAACCAGATGTGCAGGGTATAAATAATAAACAACTTCTTCTTCTTCTTCTTCTTCTTCTTCTTCTTCTTCTTCTTCTTCTTCTTCTTCTTCTTCTTCTTCCAGTGGTTACTGGGACACGGGTGGCGCTGTGGTCTAAACCACAGAGCCTAGAACTTGCCGATCAGAAGGTCGCGGTTCAAATCCCCGCGACGGGGTGAGCTCCCGTTGCTGGGTCCCTGCTCCTGCCAACCTAGCAGTTTGAAAGCACACCAGTGCACGTAGATTAATAGGTACCGCTCCGGCAGGAAGGTAAACGGCGTTTCCGTGCGCTGCTCTGGTTCGCCAGAAGCGGCTTAGTCATGCTGGCCACATGACCCAGAAGCTGTACGCCGGCTCCCTCGGCCAATAAAGCCAGATGAGCGCCGCAACCCCAGAGTCGGTCACAACTGGACCTAATGGTCAGGGGTTCCTTCACCTTTACCCTCTTGACTCAGCACATGGTTAAACTATGGAACTCCCTGCCACAGATGAACGGGATGGTCACCAAATTGGATGGCTCTAGAAGAGGATTAGAGGAGGAGAGGGCTGTTGATGGCAGCTAGCTATAATGGCTATGCACTGTGTCCGCATTTGAAGGCAGTAATGCGTCTGGGTACCAGCTGCTGACGCGGGTGGCGCTGTGGGTTAAAGCCTCAGCACCTAGGACTTGCCGATCGAAAGGTCGGCGGTTCGAATCCCCACGGCGGGGTGTGCTCCCGTTGCTCGGTCCCAGCGCCTGCCAACCTAGCAGTTCGAAAGCACCCTTAAGTGCAAGTAGATAAATAGGGACCGCTTTCTAGCGGGAAGGTAAACGGCGTTCCGTGTGCTGCGCTGGCTCGCCAGATGCAGCTTGTCACTCTGGCCACGTGACCCGGAAGTGTCTGCGGACAGCGCTGGCCCCCGGCCTCTAGAGTGAGATGAGCGCACAACCCTAGAGTTTGGCAAGACTGGCCCGTACGGGCAGGGGTACCTTTACCTTTACCTTACCAGCTGCTGAAAGCTGCAAGAGGGGAGAGTTGCTCTCGCACTCGGGTCCTGCCTGCGGGTTTCCCACAGTGGGCATCTGCTTGGCCACAGAGAACAGGACCCTGGACTAGACGGGCTATTGGGTTGATCTGGCAGCCCCGCTCTTCTGATGCTCTTCTGGAACCTCCAGGTGCAGGGGCAGTCTATCCAGATTTCTATAGTTCACCTAGGAAACTGTGAGAACAGGATACTTGCTGGACTAGACTCCCTGGTCCTGAATGGGGCAACTGTGCCCCTGAAGGACCAGGTGTGCAGCCTGGGAGTCATTCTGGACTCACAGCTATCCATGGAGGCGCAGGTCAAATCTGTGTCCAGGGCAGCTGTTTACCAGCTCCATCTGGTACGCAGGATGAGACCCTCCCTGCCCGCAGACTGTCTCGCCAGAGTGGTGCATGCTCTGGTTATCTCTTGCTTGGACTCCTGCCATGTGCTCTACGTGGGGCTCCCTTTGAAGGTGACCCGGAAACTGCAACTAATCCAGAATGAGGCAGCTAGACTGGTGACTGGGAGCGGCCGCCAAGACCATATAACACCTACATTGAAAGACCTACACTGGCTCCCAGTACGTTTCTGGGCACAGTTCAAAGTATTGGT